CATGACTTGCTAAACATGACAAAAAGGGGCTAAAGTGAATAAATTAGCCGGTTTTTTGGGTTTTTCTATTAAAATGGTTAAATAGTCGGGACTTTTCTATTAAAAAAAGATTTTATTAAGTTTTTTTTCCAAAATATTGAGACTTTTCTGAAGATTTCCTTTGATTATGTAGGTAAAAAAAGATAAATTTTAATAGAAAAAATAGTTTGAATTTAATTACTATTGGAGATAGTTTACAAGAGCACTACAATAGCAACTCCATCCACTTTAACTTGAGGGGTTAATTAAATAAATTCCAAAAATATTGTAGGGTTTGAATGACATAAGTTAAGCCAAGCGTGAGAGTGTAAATCTAGAATGTTATGAAATTAAATGTGCCAAAAACATTCATAAGTTAAACCAAATGTGAGAGTGTAAAGCTAGAATGTTATGCAATTAAATATGCTAAAAGATGCATAAAATGCATCCCAATAAACGCTAGGATCCCGATCACAAGAATCACTTCCTCAATGGTCATATTTTTCGTTTCACTTATTGTCTAATACCAAAATGCTTCTAGCCCAACGATATATGATGTTATATTTCCTCCTTGAGATCGAAGGTTCACGTCTCGTTATGAACATATGTGGATTTAAAGAGTAGTGTAAGAATATATATTAGATTTGCCGTTAAAAAAAATCTAACAAAAAAAATCAATTCAATTAATTATTTAATACGTGGAACTTATTCTCATTGGGACCTTAGTTATTTGGAACACCTATAAAACTAATTATTCTAAAAAGTTTATTTTTATCTAACATTTGTTTGTTTTCACATGTTAACGTCCTTATATTATGAGATAAAATAATTATAATACACAATTAGACTTATATTTACATTCACACCATATAATCGATGATATACAACATAAATACCTAAATGATCCAAACAATTCATGAGTTGCTTTCTGTAAATCGAATGCTAGGTTGCACGTCTAATCATATAGATGGTTTATAAATATTATATTGTAATGAAATCTATGTAATATTAGGTTCCACATAGAATCATGTAGGTGCAATCTGAACACTTACCAACACACATATCATTGAAAAGGACTTCGAATTTACCAGGACTAAGATTGCACACCAAATTACGGTATATGCACAAATGTTGAAGGGGATACAAGAAAGGGCCGTATAGGTGTGAGTTGGCCCTTTTATAATTCTTCAAAACTGGGCATGAACTTTCTTCCAAAACCAATATTAATGAACATTCATCGAAACTCAATATTAATGAACATTCATCAAAACCCCCAAAAAAATCATGTTGCTTGATTTTGTTTACCCTCAATATGAGGTTGCTTCCCTTAAAGTAAAGTTGCGTTTAATTTTGGTGTTTGAATTCGGTCGCTTTTAATAGGAATAAGATAATGAAAATGAAAATCAATGAAAAATAGTGTTTTGTGTTGATTGCCTTCTACATGAAGAAGTTAATTTTGGTTACGTTACACATTATTTTTTATTTTGGTTGTTTTGCATTTAGATTTGATTATAGTTTAAAAATGAAAATTAATAAAAAATATCCATGTGGCCGCTATTAAAAGTCAAAATAATATTTCTTGGCTTATTGAATACAATTAAAAAAATTAAGTGGTTTAAAGATCAAATTGAATATTATTGAGGGCAAATAACGTTGTTCATATAACTAACGGTAAAATCATAATCAAATGATGGTTTTACTTGGTTTTAAAGATGAAAATCAAACAATGTTAACTAATCGATGAAAATTTATACAAACAAATATTGTATAGAATAGAATGTGATTTTTTTATTTAAGATTTTGATTTATCTATATAGAATATATATGTTTTATTAACTTATATAATAGTATATTAATATTATATTTTACGTGGATAAATTAATTGTTTAAATGAAATAACCAATTCCATATCTTTAGGACAAAAATGATTAAAATTTAGGTTTTAACTATGAAAATCAAACAATGTTAACTAATCCATGAAAATTCATACAAACAAATATTATATAGAATAGAATGTGTTTTGTTTTATTTAAGATTTTGATTTATGTATATAGAATGTATATAGAATATAGGTTTTATTAACTTATATAATAATATATTAATATTATATTTTACGTGGATAAATTAATTGTTTAAATGAAATAACCAATTCCATATCTTTAGGACAAAAATGATTAAAATTTAGGTTTTAACCATGAAAATCAAACAAGGTTAACTAATCCATGAAAATTCATACAAACAAATATTGTATAGAATAGAATGTGTTTTTTTTTTATTTAAGATTTTCATTTATCTATATAGAATATAGGTTTTATTAACTTATATAATAATATATTAATATTATATTTTATGTGGATAAATTAATTGTTTAAATGGAATAACCAATTCCATATTTTTAGGACAAAAATTATTAAAATTTAGGTTTTAAAGATGCAAATCAAACAATGTTAATTAATCCATGAAAATTCATACAAATAAATATTGTATAGAATAGAATGTGATTTTTTTATTTAAGATTTTGATTTATCTATATAGAATATATGTTTTATTAACTTATATAATATTATATTAATATTATATTTTATGTGGATAAATTAATTGTTTAAATGGAATAACCAATTCTATATTTTTAGGACAAAAATGATTAAAATTTAGGTTTTAAAGATGAAAATAAAAAAATGTTAACTAATCCATGAAAATTCATACAAACAAATATTGTATAGAATAGAATGTGTTTTTTTTTATTTAAGATTTTGATTTATCTATATAGAATATAGGTTTTATTAACTTATATAATAATATATTAATATTATATTTTATGCGGATAAATTAATTGTTCAAATGGAATAACCAATTCTATATTTTTAGGACAAAATGATTAAAATTTAGGTTTTAAAGATGAAAATAAAAAATGTTAACTAATCCATGAAAATTCATACAAACAAATATTGTATAGAATAGAATGTGTTTTTTTTTATTTAAGATTTTGATTTATCTATATAGAATATAGGTTTTATTAACTTATATAATAATATATTAATATTATATTTTATGTGGATAAATTAATTGTTTAAATGGAATAACCAATTCCATATTTTTAGGACAAAAATTATTAAAATTTATGTTATAGACCAAATCTTTAACTTTCATATAACCATATGAAATAACTTTGTAGTTTAGGCTAATAACAATAAAATTATTAATAATTCATAATTCATAAAAAATCTATTATCTTATATGAATTTTACAATTCTGTCATTCACTTGAACAAGATAGACCTAAAACATGAAGAATATCTGAAATAACATTAAAATATAATTTCAGATATAAACTCTAGTTTGAAAAAGAAGTACTTGTTTTGAGGTGTTTATATTCATGGAACATGACAAAAGAAATAACATGCTAATGTATGGCATGTCATGATAACATGACATCATCCATACAAACAGACGAGAGCTATAGATAGCACAGGGGTGGATAAGAAAACGTTAAAAACATATGGATGAATTTCATCATTAGCCCCTCTACATTTCTTACAAGCCCCTTTAGTCCCTGGTCATAGTTATTGATGTTTGTCAAATTGTCATATAGACAAATACCCCGTTGGTTGCAAAAACATTGAATACTTGGTTTGATTGGTAATTTAGTATCACATGTTTGATTGTAGTGATGATGAGAGAAAAAATATATTTAACTTTAGCTTTGACCGTTGGTATTTTTAAAATAAAATATTGTAAATTTTATAAAATATATTGAATAGAATTTTGTTTTCAATTTTATATATATATATATATATATATATATATATATATGGAAAGTTTCATTTGTTGGATATAAAGGTAATTTTTTTTTGAAATTTGGTTTTCCTCTTCTCACTTTATCAATCGAAATGTCTTATTATTATTTTTTTAAAATAAAAATAAATTTCTTCAAAAAAAGATTATCAATTTATTTTTTCTGCTCTTTTCTTCACTTGGACCAATCCACATACCCGACTTCTTATATACCGATTTAAGTGATAATTCACCTTTTTCATAAACAATAATTATATTAGCAACTATTTAGATAAACAAAATGAAATTATTTATTTGTTTTTCCTAATTTCTTGATCAAATTTAATCAATGACAACTCAAAGCAAAACCACGAATTCATTATGTTAATTTTAGGGGTGAAATTGATACAATACCAATTATTTTCTTTAAACCGTGTTCCGTATCAATTATAGCTGGTACAATTTTTTTTTTGCACAACCGAACAAAGTATAATTCGTACCAATTAGTTTGGTTGCCAATAAGTTCGGCTGATAAATGTATATGTGACACACCAATCTATAAGGATTTTATTAATTCTACAATAGGTTTAAAAGTTAAAGTAACAGAAGAAAATGTGACAAACCAACATGAATTTAAACTTTAAACTTTATTAATATAGTAAATGCTAATGTCAAAACTCTTAAAATCCTAAACACCAAATATACTAATAATATATATATATATATATATATATATATATATATATATATAATTTGAATTGGTTGGTATGATACTAAGGTGATATTAATTTTTTTTTATCACTACCTTATCATGATTATTAATTTGATATAGTATTACCAAACAAATATACTGACTGCTAAACATATTGGTTACCAATTTGTTTTATTCAGTTGGTAACATGTTGGTTAGCCTTAGTTAATTTCACGACGCAATTTGTATGGTAACAAAAAACATTGTTTTCACTAATGGACCATCTATCACCTATTTGAAAAAAAAACAATAATTAAAAAAAGTTAAAGAAAGATATTAATTATTTATGGAAGGTGTATCACAATTGACATATGAGTAAAAGATAGACGGGGAAAATTGGTTAGAGACATGTTACAGGGGCTAATGAATAAAACGCGTTTTTTTCCCTTCACTGCTTCACGCTCCACACCGTTTTCTTTCTCTCTCTGTAATCACTTGTTATATTAGCTGTCTTCTCTCTCTCTCTCTCTCCCTAAAACACACACACTCTACTTAACTCTTACTCTCACACACACAAATCTTCATCTCTCTGCCGACATGGGATTGGGATCTTCAACTACATCAACAACAATGGCGACAATCTGCTTTGTTGTTTGTTAGTTCACTTCTTTTGTGGACATCTACTCTGTTTTTGTCTCAAAACCCTAACCCCAGATCTACCGCTACCATGAATTAACAACAGCTACAACAAGGAAGCGAGCATGGCGCAGAACTCAGACCCGACCAAGCGTCCCAAACCCGGCCCATGGCCTCCTGGTCAAGATTCCAACGACGCACCTGCAATGCCTCCTTCTTCATGGGCCAAACGGACCGGTTTCCGCCCTAGGTTCTCTGGAGAGACCAATGCCAGTGATTCTGGTCAAATTACCAGACCTCCGGTCGATCTCGAGGCTGGACGTGTCCGTCCGGTCCCAGCTGTAAACGGTACGGCTCCACCACCGCCCGCTAATGCTCAGGCGCAGGTGCAATCAGATAAGGATCAGTCGGTGAAGAAGAAGAGGGAGGCTGAGGGTGGTCCCGCGCGTCTACCGCCCAAGCATGGGGCTAATAGGCCGCCGGCTCATAATGCTGTGGCGGTTGAGACGCCTGCGGCGCCTCAGCCTAGCCAGAGAGTGGTTAGGAATGAGAATGGGGAGAATGCGTTGCCACAAACTGTTGATGATGAATTTGTTTCTCGTCATTCACATATGAAGTATGAGCTTAGAGACACTCCTGGTCTTGGTAAATATCTCATGTTCCTTGTGTGTATTGCAGAATTCAAATTTTACAATTTGGACTCACAACGTTTTCTCTATTTCTACCTGATCTGCGTGTGCATTAGCAACTTTCTACTCTCTAACAGAGTAAAGTTATCATTTCTAACCACGAACCCTGTGAATTTGTTACTGCAATTGTACTAACATCATAGCTTCATATATTATCATATATATTATCATGGTCTTGAAAAGAACATTTGCTCCTAAGCGTATTGATATCTCTAGCATTTCTGACTTAAAATTGTGATTTGTCTTCAGTTCCCATTGGTTTCTACGGATTCCAGCACTATCTATCCATGCTGGGTTCACTGGTTTTAATTCCGCTTGTTATTGTTCCAGCAATGGGTGGTGACCATGTAAGCACTTGAACTTCATGCCAGCTTAACTTTACTTACATATGAAACTCTCTATCTTCACTTGAATTATTCTGATGAAAACTAGTGGGTGTAGGAAGATATGTCAATGGTGGTCTCCACTGTACTTTTTGTTTCGGGAATGACCACACTTCTACAAGCAAACTTTGGATCAAGATTACCCCTCATTCAAGGTCCATCTTTTGTCTTTCTTGCTCCTGCGCTTGCCATAATAAAATCCCCTGAGTTCCTTGGATTGAATGGAAATGTAAGCTCTATCTGAATCATCAAGTTTGTTTCAACTTTCAATCAGATGTTTTTTATGCATTTTTCATTATGTTATCTAACAGCATGATAAAACGATAACCAAAATTGTGATGTGTGAGTAAACAATATAAATCTTGTTTTATCATTATCAATGGGATCTGATCAAAATAACTGATACTACAGAATTTCAAGCATATAATGAAGGAACTACAAGGGGCTATAATTATTGCATCAGCTTTTCAAGCATTTCTTGGATATAGTGGACTAATGACACTATTCTTGAGGTGTGTATTACTTCTCTTCGTTTGCTTATTTGTACTTATTACAAATTTAAATGTTTTACAAATGATTTTGTCAATGTGATACAAAATTAACCAGAAGATATGTGATGGTTGTTCAGATTGATTAATCCAGTGGTTGTGTCCCCAACTATTGCTGCTGTTGGACTTTCATTCTATAGTTATGGTTTCCCACAAATGGGGGCATGTCTTGAGATTGGCATGGTGCAGATTCTTTTGGTTATTATGTTTTCTCTAGTAAGTCATCTATATTCTATATCTACTTGTAGTTAATAAATCTATAATATTATAATATGCTTATTCATGTGTTCTGTATGTGTTTCAGTACCTTCGCAAAGTATCTATTTTAGGACACCGTGTATTTCTAATCTACGCTGTAAGTATACATAATTTCCGTTTCTTTATTTTATAAATTTCACTACTTAAATACTATTATTTACTAAATAAATATCTGAAAAATAATATATATGTGAGTTTAGGTACCTTTGGGTCTAGCTATCACATGGGCTATGAGTTTCCTTCTAACTGAAGCAGGGGCGTATAAATACGATGGGTGTGATGTAAATATTCCAACTTCAAACATGATATCCAACCACTGCAGAAACCATGTTGCCAGAATGAAAAGCTGTAGAGCAGATACCTCACACGCCTTAAATTCTTCCCCATGGTTCAGATTCCCATACCCATTACAATGGGGCACACCTGTTTTCAACTGGAAAATGGCCATTGTAATGTGTGTCGCCTCTCTTATCACTTCAGTTGACTCAGTAAGACTCTTTAAGTCTTAAAACCCTTCTCATAAATTCATTAATTCTTAAAAAAAAAAACTTAAATTTTGTTATAATAGGTGGGGTCGTACCATGCATCATCGTTATTGGTGGCATCTAGGCCTCCCACGCCAGGTGTCGTGAGCCGAGGGATTGGTCTAGAAGGTGTGTCTAGTATCTTGGCAGGGTTATGGGGCACGGGAACCGGGTCAACTTCTTTGACCGAAAATGTCCACACAATTGCTGTTACAAAAATGGGGAGTCGAAGAGCTGTTGAGTTGGGAGCTTGTGTTTTGATTGTGTTATCCTTAGTAGGTAATGTCAATGAAATGAATGAATGGCTTTTTATAATTTACCATATTTGCAAACTGTTTTTGTAAGGTAACTTACATTTTTGGTTCACCATTAACTTCATTTTTGCAGTTTTGGTCCCAAAAAATTCTCTTACGAATTTTGGCCCTTATTTTGAAGTATCTTAATGATTTTGATCTTTCTTCCAAGTAAAATGGCTATATTGCAAGCAAACTTAAATTAAGCAACAAATACTTATAAAATAAATCAGAGAAGGGTAATATAGTCATTTTACTTGAATTAGGGACTGAAAATATTAAAAAAATACAAAGTAGGACCAAAAGGCAAGATAATTTTTTGAGACCAAAATTGCAAAAATCACCTATACTTAGGGACCAAAAATGTAACTATATATGGTGAATTACATTTTAGGTCCCTCAGTAAGCTGATTTTTGCAACTTTGGTTCCAAAAACTTTTCTCTTGTGAATTTGGTCCTTATATACGACTTTGGTCCTTGTTCCAAGTAAAATGACTATATTGCAAGAGAAGACATAAATATATATTAAAAAAAAAATCAGAGAAGGGTAATATCATGATTATACATACTTTAAACATGGACCGAAAAAGTTACAAAAGTCTCAAATGTGGACAAAAATGCAAGAGATAGCTTTTTGGGAATTGGGACCGAAATTGCAAAAACCAGCTATAGTCAGGGACCAAAAGTGTAACATACTCATATTTATTTAAATGATTATCTTTGTTTTTTGATACAGGTAAAGTAGGAGGGTTTATCGCGTCAATTCCTCAAGTAATGGTTGCAGGGTTGTTATGTATCATGTGGGCCATGCTTGCAGCATTGGGTTTGTCAAATCTACGTTACAGTGAAGCCGGAAGCTCACGAAACATAATAATCATCGGGCTTTCCCTATTTTTCTCACTTTCCATTCCGGCCTACTTTCAGCAATACGCTCTCTCACCTAATTCCAATTCCGCCGTTCCAATTTACTTCCAGCCTTACACCGTTGCCTCACACGGCCCATTCCGCTCCCAATACCGAGGCGTACGTATCATTTCCCTTATTCTTATCCTTGCTTGATATTATAATTATTTTTAATGAAGAGTTTTGTTTTGATAAAATTACAGTTGAATTATGTAATGAACACGGTGTTGTCATTGCACATGGTGATAGCGTTTTTGGTAGCTGTAGTTTTGGACAACACGGTTCCCGGGAGTAAACAAGAACGGGGGGTTTACGTGTGGACTGAAGCAGAAGCGGCTCGAAGGGAGCCCGGTGTGGCTAAGGACTATGGGTTACCGTTTAGAGTTGGGAAAATGTTCAGATGGGTGAGATGGGTTGGGCTTTAGTGGGCCATCAAAGAAAATTTTGCCACGGGTTTGTAGTTGTGAATGGGTCGGGTTGAGTTGGGCTGGGTTGGTGTGTGTACATTGGACAGGGGGTTATGTGTTGTAATGTTAAATTTTTTTTTTTTTTTTTTTTTTTTTTTTGTATGTAGTTTGCAATTGAAATTCTTGTTTTATTTTCAAGTCTTAGATATTTATTTTGTGCTCTCGTAATCATTCGTTTTGTGTCTATTAAAATGTGTACAAAATTAGGATTAAGGTGGTGAAAGTTTGGGCTCATTAAAGATCATGTATTGTTAAACACGAAATATTATGTGAGTTACTGAGTTATAGGCATATAGCGTTTGTTATTTTTATTTTTTTTGAAATGACAGATTTTATAAAAAACACAAACCCTGCCCAAAAGGAGAAGGCAAGGCAAGAAAGAAGAATAAAAAGTTTATAGAATTTTAAACGGGCAACAAACCAAATTGAACCAATTATGCGCGTCAAAATTACCCCTATTTCTAACTTAATTAAAACCTATGTGATTATACAATCCACCGTCATTGCGGCCTTGCGGGAAAAGTGAGATTTTTGTTGAAAAGCTTAGGTTGCGTTTACTTACGGAAAAACAGTTTTCATTTTCCGTTTTTCGTTTTCCCTTTCAAATTTAGAAAACACATTTAGTTAAAACTTATTCATGTTTCATTTTCAGTTTTAGAAAATTAAAAAACGCGTTTAGATGTGTATTTTTCTATCGGATTTCATTTTTAGAAAACGGTAGCGGTGGTAGGGTGGGCGTGGGGACGGTGGCGGTGGTGGGGGCAGCGACGGGGGGCAGTGGTGGTGTCGATGATGGTGACGGTGGTGGTGGCGGCAGCGGGGTAGCGATGGTGGTGGTGACGGCGGCAATTGTGGCAGTGTTGGTGATGGCGGCGGAGGTGGTGCTGGTGATGGGGTAGTGGTGGTGTAGTGATGGTGGTGATGGTGATGGTGATGGTAGGTTAGTGAGTGGTGGTAGTTGGGTGGGTGGGTTGTGTGTGTAGGGGGGGTGAGTTGTGTGTGTGTGTGCGGGGGGGGGTTGGGGGGGTGTGGGGGGGGGGGGGGGGGGGGGGCTGGGAGTGAGTGTAGGTAGGTAGGGGTGTGGTGAGTTGGGGGTGTTAAGGTGAGGGTAGGTAGAGGTGGATGGGGTGGGAGTGGGTGTTTATATTTTAGAAAAATTTTGGAATTAGAAAAATGTGGAAAACAATGATTATCGGTTTTCCAAAAATTTCCAACTTCTTTGCAATTTTAGAAAACGGAAAATTTTCATTTTCCGTGAAAAATTTAGAAAAATAGACGAGCTAAACGCGTTTTCAAAATTCTCATTTTTTTGGAAAATTTTTCCGGAAAACGACCAATTTTTCCGCAACTAAACGCACCCTTATCGTTTATTATCAACCACACACACCAAAACAGTCCCGTAAATAATCGCATTTAAAATCTTTCTCTTCTTTGGACAATGCCCCCATTTGGTAGCAAACTCGATAACTTTAGTAGCTGAATTGAAATTTTGGTATGAGATATCACACCATTTCAAAACCCAGGACAAAACTTCACGAACATAAACACAACCCATAAGGAGGTGCTCGCTGGACTCAGTACCAATGGGACAAAAATGATATGCAGTTGTATTGTGGTTAATTCCTCTGCGATTAAGAGCCAAGGCAGCGAGGATGCAGTCCATACATGCTCTCCAAATAAAAATGGTTACTTTGATTGGGACCAACTTCAACCACACAGTCAGGTTGCTCACGCTACAAGTAATTTTAGAATCAATAATGCACTTGAGATTGTTAACATAAAACATACCGTTGGTGACAAGATTAGACCTCCACGAATTCGCTGTGTTAGTGATGGTGAAATTATAGAGAATAGTGTGGATCAGGGTAAGCTCCTAGAGTTCTTCCAGCAGTTTGGGGCGGCGCTTCTAACTCCAATAAACCCCATCACTGAAGATACGACCTGCAACAAGGCAAGATTTCAAGGAATCAAGATTTGACACATGAGGAAACCGAGTGGCGAGAGTACCCCACATGTCCAATCGTCGAGCCAGAAGATAGTGTTATTCCCATAACCGACACTGCATGAAAGAATTTGATCAAAGCCTGCACATAAATTTGTAAGATATGGGATGGATTTGACAATATTACCCCAGATTCCCGGAATCGGTTTTTTAGCAAGCAAGGGCACAGGTTTCCTCGAGAGGTTATGTATTCCAGTAATAACATGTTTCCAAAGGGTGGTGCTCTCGGTTTTAAGATGCCATATCCATTTGAAAAGAATGGCAATATTTATGCTTTTTAAGGACCCCACACCTAAACCTACATTATCTTTATTAGCAAGAATCACCCCCATCTGACCCAACTCATTTTATTCTTCTCATCACTCCCGCCCTACAAAAACCTTCTTCTAATTTTCTCGATATCATTGAGGATAGAAATAGGAGCCTTAAAAAGGGAAAAATAATATAAGGGCATACTTCCCAAGACAAATTTGATAAGGTATAAAGCGACCTCCGAAAGATAGAGACTTCAATTTCCAATTTGAAAGTCTGCCTTTGACTCGATCGATGATATGTTTCCAGTTACGCTTAAGGGCCATATTCGTGCCAACTGGAATGCCTAAATAAATAAAGGGGATGGGGGCAGTCTCACAACCTAAAACACAAGCACAGTTGGAAACTTCCGACTCGGGCAAACCGATCCCAAAAACTCTAGACTTGTTGAAACTCACCTTTAGTCCCGAGGCAACATGAAAGCATCAGAGAATTCTTGCCAAATTCTCAAAGTTGGTGATGGACCAGTCACCGATAAAGATCACATCATTTGCGTATAATAGGTGTGAAATGGGAGGGTCGTTATTGGGAAGTTGTAACCCGCAGAAGAGAGAGGCTTGGCAAGCAGATTTCATAACAACGTTTAAACCTTTCAATGCAAGGATAAATAGAAAAGGGGATAAGGGGTCCCCTTTGTGGACCCCTTTAGAAATTGGGAACTCCTTTTTCGGTGCACCATTAATCAAGACGGAGGCTCTAGAGGAAACAAGGCATCCTCTGATCCAAAAACGCCAACGGTTTCCAAACCCCATTTGAGACATTTGAGACATCACACCATCAAGAATGTTGCGTCCTTCGACGAAACTGGTTTGCGATTCGTCTATCACAGTGCGAATAACCTTTTTGATGCGATTTGTGAGGGCCTTAATTATGATTTTATAGAGGGAACCGATGAGATTGATATGACGGTAGTCATTGAGGGTGAGAGGGTCCAAAATCTTGGGAATTAGGATGATGAATGAAAAGATGCAACCTCTAGCAATGCGACAGCTAACTTCAAAGTATATCACAAATCACATAATGTCATCCTGCATTAGACCCTAGTATCTTTTAATGAATTTAAAAGTAAATCCGTCTGGCCCGAGAACTTTTTCCTCACCGAAGTCCCAAATAACATCTTTAATCTCCTCGAGGGTAAAGTCATTCTCTAAAAAGGTGTTGTTGTCAGTAGATGGGCACCTGAGGTTCTGGTTGTGAAAAGGAGGTCTGACAACATGTGGTTCCTTGAATTTATCACCAAAGAAACGAATAGCCTCAAATTTTATGGTGTCTCTATTCGTGACCCAAACTCTATTCACCATTAACCCGTGGATAGTATTCTTCATGTTTTTTATCTTTAGGAAATTATGGTAGAAACTTGTAACACCCAAAATTTTACAACCAATTTAAAATTTTTAAAAGCCTTTCCAACCATAAAAATCATTACAATTTTGTTTCAAAATGTATACTATCAGAGTTTTTTCCCAGAAACATAGACAAAACATGAGGAGCTGTACGATCACGCCTTCGCCTTGCCGCGATCCCCTGATGTACCTGAAGCAATAAACTGAAACTGTAAGCTCGAGAGCTTAGTGAGCTTCCCCAAAATACTCATACCCCCAACAATACACATATAATCATAACAGCATAGTATGGGTCCAGTCAACCATCGGGTTGGAATACCCCAGGCCCTCAACCAACAGGTTGGAATGCCAACACACTATGGGTCCAATCATCCTCGGGATGGAATACCCCAGGCCCTCAACCAACAGGTTGGAATCCCAACACACTATGGGTCCAATCAGCCTCGGGATGGAATACCCCAGGCCCTCAACCAACAGGTTGGAATGCCAACACACTATGAGTCCAATCATCCTCGGGATGGAATACCCCAGGCCCTCAACCAACAGGTTGGAATTCCAACACACTATGGGTCCAATCATCCTCGGGATGGAATACCCCAGGCCCTCAACCAACAGGTTGGAATGCCCCGGTCTATTGGTCTCCGCACAAAGCAGGTAAACCTCAACCGCCAACAACATGTGCACATACAATAGATAATCACATAACAGTCTATAGACAGAAACTGATCTAACGGATCATACCACATAGCACATAATACTATCCTATCTACCAGGATACCGATCTAACAGATCATACTACCTAACGTAACCATATAACAATTCAAAAGGGCCGACCTTGGTGCCTTAGACCCTTGAGTATAGTGAGGATAACTCACCTCGCAAATGTCGACTCGGAAGATAAAACCCAACTCTCGAATCACTTGGCACAGGCTCCACCACCTAACACCAAAGCACAATATACTCATAAGTCCTTAACCATATAAGGTACTCCATAACCCACTAGTCAACCCCTGGTCAAAGTCAAGGTCCTCAGTCAAGGTCAACAGTCCATGTTGACCCCAACTCGCCGAGTACCCTCGGCTACTCGCCGAGTTCCTTGAAGCACAATCCAACTCGCCGAGTCATCGGGGTGACTCGTCGAGTTGCTTCGATTCTCGTTCAAACTTTAAGGCCACCCGTCGAGTTTTCCTTTTTGCACACGACGGACACACACACATTCATAACTTGGGGAAAACTCATCCGACTCGCCGAGTTGTTCTTCAACTCGCCGAGTCTTATGGTATTCTTCATCGGACTCGCCGAGTTGTTCATCCAACTCGTCGAGTTCACGGCCATCTTCATGTGACTCGCCGAGTCAACCTTGCGACTCGCCGAGTCCATTCAGTCCTTTTTCCATACAGACTTGTTTTTGAGCCATGCAGCGG